AAGTGCAGCCAGAGTGCTTCTTGGAGGTCAGAATGGCCAAACTTCGTCTCTCATACTTCAGACATATTTTCAAGGGGGACCAGTCGTCGGAGAAGGATATCATGTTTGGTAATGTGGAGGGTCAGAGAAAAAGTGGAAGATCGATTGGGAAAGTGGCAGCATCAACGGCCTCAAGTGGGGCAACAATTGTGAGGTTGGCCCAGGACTGGACAGTGTTTCGTTCCATTGTACATAGGGTCACTATGAGTCGGTACCAACTTGATGGCACCTAACAACAACAACAGGGGCTCTGGTAGCGTAGTGGTTACGAATCTGGCTGTGAACCACAAGGTCAGCAGTTTGAAACTACCAGCTTCTCAGCAGGAGAAAGATGAGGCTTTCTGCTCCCGTAAAGATTTACAGCCTCAGATCCCTGTGCAGGGTCGCTATGATTAGAACCAACTCGACGGCACTTAAAAACAACAACAACATATTACTTTTATGTTAAATATTATGGCTGCACCAGGTGCCTTTAATTAAGCACATTTTATTTTGCAGTACCCTCGGCCTCTTAATTTCCAAGTCTCATAAGGTATTAAGTCTAAGAAACATAAGTTCATCTGTTTTTTTTTTTTTTTTTTAATATACTTGATCACTGGAAGCTTGAGAGCTAATTAGCTATTTCTTAAGACCTTATAGCCAAAATCATGCCTAGGATACAAACAGCCCTCACAGAGATGATGCTGGCCCACAGAAAATGGGGGGAAGAGGGAGGGGGGCTTGTGTTAAACATTTCCTATGGAGCATCCTGTTAATTGCTCGAGCTTGTCAAAACAAACCCCCATCAATACTATTTTGTTTTTACTTTCCTTTGAGAATGAAAATAGATCCTTTTTTTTGTTTGTTCATTATTTCTTTCTCACCTCATTTTCTCAAACTAGTTGAATTCCCCTCCCCTTCTTCTTTTCCTATACATTTAAGCATGTGACCTTAAAGGACAGGGAGCTAACAAGAAAGAAATCAGCAACATTTCACAGAAATAGCCCCAAATAGGGGACAGGAAATGATTTTACAAGAACATGACTTTTGTTATAAGTTGTTTTCTCTTTTTAAGCTGACTCTCTTTTTAAGTAAAAAAAAAAAATTAAAAAAAAAAAATCTATTGATTTCTTTGGAAATTCTTGGCAGCAGTTTTGGATTCAATGAATAACCTAATTATGTACTATCAGCCAAGCTCAGGTCCTGGAAGAAAAAGAATTTGTAGATAAAAGTTTCATTTGGAAACTTCCCAGGTGACAATCAGCAGAAAAGATAGTTGATTAAAGAAAGTGATGAGCCTAAAAATCTTTGCCAATTAAAAAAAAAATTGCCAATTACATTTATCGTGAAAGAGGAGCTGTTGTACAGGTTATTAAGCCATTGCTGTTGAATCGGATCAGACTCAATGCCATATAGGACAGAATAGGGTTGTCAAAGCTGTAAGTCTTTACAGAAGGCAACTGTCGCATCTTTCTCCTAACGAGCAACTGGTGGGTTTGAACTGGCAA